GTAGTCACGGACTTAGTCACGGATTTGTCCGTCACTAAGCAAAACCGTGTCCATTACGCGTCCGATCCGTGTAATGACGTGTAAATGACGTGTTAATCAAAGTAGTCACGGACATAGTCACGGATATGGCCGTGACTAAATTTATCCGTTCATAATACCGTTGCGGATTGATTTATGGGAGATGCAAAATTAATTTTTAAATTTAGTCACGGCTGTAGTCACGGATGTGGCCGTGACTATGTCGCCGGAGTAAAACAAGCCAGGTCGGAAAAACAAACGGGCAATCGGAGGATGTTAGTCACGGACAAATATCCGTGACTACGTGTAGTCACGGCTGTAGTCACGGTCAAATCCGTGACTAATTTTTTTTTTTTAAATTTCCGTGACTAGTCCGTGACTAGTCCGTGACTAGGCTAGTCACGGACCAAATCCGTGACTACGGTCCGTGACTAAACGAGTGTTTTTTTGTAGTGCTATGTTCATGATGTATTCATTTACAATGTTTTAGTATCTACATTTGTTGAATTATGTGAGGAGTTGACTAAGAGCAGAAAATCTGATTCATATGTTATGAGGAGTAAATTGATTTTCCTTTTATTGAACTTACTGTTCTTTTGCAAAATTATAATGCTCGTTTTATGCCATGAAACTTCTAAAGGTAGCACTCCTCAACAAAATGGATGATGACTCTATATTGAAAAAGTCATTACTCTTAGTATAGATGTAGAATCTATTGTTGATGGGTTCTTTTTGTTTCAAAGCCTCGTTGAGAACAAATTTAATGGAGAACTCTTATATTTGATTTTTTGTTTATTTTAAAAATTTTCAATGTATTATTATTTAAGTATTTCAGCCCAGCCCAACATGAAATCCTGGATCCGCCCCTGACGGTAGAAATTCAAACTGAACGTTACATTGTCAAACTCCAATCTCGTAGTTACAAGAACTACACAATTAGAATTTTACAATTTAACTTTTTCCATGTAGTACACAAAACATCATTTTCATTGTACCACAACAAACGCAATTACAATAGTAGTTAACCATATATAAGTCCTTTTGAATTTCAGATTGCAACGCATGCTCATAATTCACTATCTTCTTCTTTCTAAGAAAAGAACATCCATCCTCCTCTTTGTGCCTATGTATAAAATCAAAAAAGTCAAAACATATGCACCTATGATACAATCGATTCACAAAAGCCCTCCAACGAAAAAATCCCCACAAACTAAAATTCTCCCAAAGATTATATTTTCATAAAAATATTATAAACCCCTCCAACGAAAAAATCCCCCCAAACTAAAATTCTCCCAAAGATTATATTTTCATAAAAATATTATTTCTCACAAAAATTGTCACGCCCCGGACCTATCCGAACACGTCAACAATCCGCCGTACAGTACGAATAGTCAACCACAGTCCAACACATCCATACTATACAAGGCGTCTGGGATATCATTCACACATAGTACATCCATAAACAAACATAATGTAAAATATTCATTCAAAGCAGCGGAAACATTTGATACAGGTATTCATGCCACACTTTGGCAAACATGGGCATACAAGCCCCCAAATAATTATTCAAAAATATAATATCCATGAGCATTAATATAATTGTTTTTAAACAGAATTCGGAGGAAGCACGAACCACGTCTTCTCTCCTTGATCTTCCCGAAACAAGTGGGCGATGGCAGCAACCTTCAAGTTCTACCTGAAACTGTGAGGTGGCCTCCCCCGTGAAGGGGAGGTCAGTACTTGGAAGCATTTGACAAGTACAATGACAACTATACTAAGTATAATCAAAGTTTCAATTTCCAAGACCCTCAATCTAGGGTGTTATTATACCATGGTTAACTTTGTTCGTTTAGTGTCAATTCATCATTACTTACCACGGTCTAGAGCTCTGCTCAATAATCATCGTTACCTACTATGGTCTAGAGCCCAGCTCAATAATCACCGTCATCTACATCGGTCTAGAGCCCAGCTCAATAATCACCGATAACTACTACGGTCTAGAGCCCAGCTCAATAATCACCGTTATCTACATCGGTCTAGAGCCCAGCTCAATAATCACCGATAACTATTACGGTCTAGAGCCCAGCTCAATAATCACCGTTATCTACATCGGTCTAGAGCCCAGCTCAATAATCACTGATTCTTTACAATTCAATATCTTAGGATCCATTCATCCGTTATTCAACTACAATTCCAACTAATATCTCAATACTAGTTATTTACTCATTTAAATATAATTATTCATTCATGTGTAATTTGGCTTAATATCAAAATATCACTTTTATACTTTCATGGCTTCTTCTCATGAACTAAAAAGCATACTTATCACAAATGGGATTCATGGTTGATTCAACTATCATGCCATCATGTTCATAACATATACACATACACAATTTATTCGTAAATTTGTATATTATGCAAATTATACTTATAATCAATAGTAATTTCATTTAGGCATTATTAATCACCATGCAAATCACATTTTGTATTCATTTAGGAAATCTCATGAAATTAACCCAAAGATTATAATCAATATAGTCGGTCATCCTCACCTTAAGTGAGCTTAAGCGCGTTCTACGCTTCCCGATTGAACTTTGACCAACTCCGGCAAACTTTGACCAACTCCGGTGAACTTTGACCAATTCCGGCGAAGCTCTAGAAATGCTCGATCAAGTTCCTAACAAGGTTTTAACATCATAAAACCTTAATCAATACAAATAATCTCTAAAAGGTTATTTTCCGGTGAACTTGTCGGTTTGGCTTCCAAGTCCGTTCTTGGACTTGGAACCACTCCCCAACCCATTATCCCACACTTAAATCATGTAGAACAATTCTCAAGGTTCTCCCTATGATATATATCTCATTTGATAGAAGAAAAATAAAGAAAAAGTTAATATAAGGTTATTACCTTAATCTTTCTCACTTTTCCTAGCTTTTTCTCCCTTTAATCTTTCCTCATGGACCTCTATTGTTTGACCTCTCTTCAAGGATGGGAATAGGAGGATGGAGGTTTTCTTTATCTTTCCGGGGTTTGTGCTGGCCGAGAGAAAGAATGAGGAAGAGAGGAGTTGCTCTTTTGTCTTAATGGGCAAATAAACACAGGTGTGGGTCTACCCCATTTTGTTTGATGCCAATTCCTCCATCTCAATATCATCCCCCATGATTTCCTACTCTACCAGCCGGCCAACTCCTTAATTTGAGTGGCCAAATTCATGGGTTGGCCCCCACCCATGTGGGAGGTCAACCCTTTTTGTCCAGAAGTGTACAATCGGTCCCGAAAGTTGTATTTTTTCGGACTGTTTTAAATTATATTTTATTTTATCGGGTCAAATAAAATATATTATGTGTTTCCAATCATTATGACCCTTATAATGAATATACATTCCCCAACTTTAATTTATAAGCCCCCGAAATTCATTTCGGGCTGTTATCTGTTAAATTATCGATACCGGTATTTGGGCCTCCTTTGGCCAATCGGTCAACTCTGGGCCTTTCCACGGACCAAATGAAATATCCACCATTTTATGAACATTATCTTGACCAAGATAAATAAAATATATGGTGTCGGGAATTTCGGACGGCCCCCGCCCCCGGTGTGGGCCCCACGTGCGAATTTACTATTCACGCAAAAGAATTTATAAAAAATCACAACTTCGTATACTCATTAACCATTCCATAAGGTTCAATACATTATTTACTTAAAAGTAAATACATTTGGGGACGGTGTTACAAAAGTCCCCCAAAATGAAAAAACAATTTCATAGTGCTACTTCACAATCACTTACTTTCCATCGTTGGCACCCAGAGTTCACAAAAGTCCCACATCGATTCACCCATATTTTTGAATAGTTTTCTCCTAAATATTTTATAACATATATACGCCAAATTATACTATTTTACGGGACTGAGTGGACCTTGCTTAGAATTTCCCTCTAATTTTTGTTTTTTATGTGTTTTTCTTTCTGTATTTTATTTGTGTATTTTTTGTGTAGGAGTTAAGGAACAATATTGGTTTTGAGAGAGTTTCCGCTAGGACACGTAATTGTATGTTTACAATTTCATGCTCAAGACATTTAGTGAATAATTATTTTGGAAGATTAAATTTATTTTGATGATGGATAGCATGTGCACTCGTTGATGTGAGAGCCAAGTGTGACAGTAGCCCCTTTATTTCCTTTTGAAAATTTCGCGGTGCATTTTTTATGTTTTAATCAAAGTGCAATATTTTCTTTGAATACATTATTATCTCAATGTATTCTAGGAGAAATTGGGGGTGTTACAAGTTTGGTCCAGAAATTTTTATTTGAAATAGTTACATATTTATGACTATATTAAAGATTGTTTACAAAAATGTGACTAGTAAATAGAGTAGTAATAAAATCATAATAAGTTATGTTCATATTTTAAATTTAAGTTACTACTCCGTATGACACTACGAGCCCGTTTGGTAACACATATTTTTTTATTTCACGGGCTGAAATCTGTAATAATAAGAAAAAGTAAGATTGGAGTTATTTTTCTGGCTGTTTCGGGTGAAGTTACTGTAGAGGACCATTTTAGCTATTTTACATATATTTTTTTCTTTGCTTCTTATTAATAAAGTATATTTTAAATTTAATTTTTTCATAAATCAGCAGATCAGTCAATACAACCACATAAGCCAGAACTTCATAAATTTCAGCAGAATCAGCCGATTTCAGTGTTACCAAACGGGCTCTACATTGTAATGAATATTAATCATATTTGTGTAAATAAATTTTATTTTAATAATAGTTTTGTAAAAAAACCTTTTTTATTTTGTCCTTCACAAAAAAATAATCACATTTTTAGTCCAATCTAAGGTCTCTTTCCGAGTTTCAATTGGATTTTTCCGAGCTGGGACTAGAAACTTTTTGTACGGAGCATCAATTTGTACGGCTTTGGCTTTTTTTATTATAGTGTGGGGCTAGGCCAGGAGAGGTAGTATTTAAAAGTAGAGAATACTCATCTGCGAATTTCATGTCAAACAAATGCCAGCAGAAAAGGAGTTATCAGCCAACCAAGTGCCTATGAACTATGGTTTCATTTACGTCCATTTTCAGCATGAACCAAACCCCAGCGATTCACTCAAGTTCTCCCTTTTTCTTCAATTGGGTACATCACACAACTCACCAAACTACACAATATCATAGCAAGAAGCTAGGGCATTCCTCTTCCCCTTTATTGAAAAGCTGCAAGACTATCCATCTTCTTCCTCCGAATTTCCCATAAATTCGCCTACATCTTTCTGTGATCATCTCTTCTGTTTAGCCAGCTAGCTTCCATGAAGAATTTCAAGTATCCTGTGCCAGAGCATCCATCTTCAAGCTTCTTTCTCCCCCCAGATCATCCCATTTCAGGTCTCCTTCATTTATCCGTTTTTTTGTTTTCAATTTTCTGTCTTAAACAAAAAAAAAAAAATCAGTAAATGCTTACTTAACTACTTAACTCTAATGTTTGTGTAAGTGATGCACATGGTTGTCTGTCACTTTTAGTTTCATCCATTGGATAAAAGAGGAGTTTTGTTATGACCTTTTCTTGAAATGCATAGCCAGTCTGCATTCTGCAAAGACTTGATATTTTTCCTTTTTTTGTTTTGCTAATGGAGGATGAATGTGGAAGGAAATGTGACAGTGTAATTGCTATAGTTTTGAATGAAACAAAAAGATTGGTTCTTTTATTTTAGATTTGGGACACTCTCAGAGAGAGCTGGAGAAGAAAAGAATAAGGGAGGAGATAATTGCTCAAGAGGATGCAAAAAGAAGGATTCTTGAAGCAGAGGTCAGAATGGAGCTAAGGATGGAGAGGGAGGCTTCCATGCTAAGGGGTGACCCCAAAGTTTCTTCTTCTGAGGAGTTTGTAAAGAGATCTGCAGAACCCAGGGGGGCACTGCCTGATGAGAGGTCACTGCAGGACATTATAGTTAAGCTTGTTGATGAGAGGTTAGCCTTGTTAATCTCTGGTAATGTGAGGGCTGCAAAACAAGATCTAAATGTTCCAAAGTCTCCTGAAGAAGTGGACAGGCTCATCTTAAAGGTCAGTAGGCTTTTAACCCTCTTTTAATTGTCATTTAAATGGATGACTTAGTAATGATAATCTTATCGGAGTAACTTTAAGAAGAAACGTATTTTCCTATTAATAAAGTTCACATACTTATAGTATAGTTATTCTCTATATTGAATCTTGAGGCTAATATTCTGGTGTTCATATTAGTGTTCCTTGATTTATTTCAGCAATGTGAGCTTTTGCGCCAGAATTAATGTGAAGATTGAGGTGTCTTGTAAAAATATATTACTGCATATTTTGAAGTACAGTAAAAATAGGCCAAATACTAATAAGTTTTTCTTTGTATTGTGCTAAATATAAAACTTAATCAAATGTACTCCGTATTTGATAATTCTTCATTTAGAAGTGAATAGGTCATATTTTAAAGGAGAAAAACAAATAGACCTCATTTGAAGAAATGTAAATATCAACTTAGCTGGTATTGGAATGCCTTTGAATGTCTTCTCTAGGCTGTATCTGTCTCCATGAAAATGTTCATAGAATTGTTACGTGTTTGGCATTACAAAAACATATTCCTTAAACATTCTCCTATATTTACTATGATTCTTTTAACTTGTGGAAAAATGAGTCCTTGTTTATTTAAAAACAGTTCTATATTTTCTAAAAAAAAATTGGGTTGAACATCATAATATACAGAGTGTGGAGTATATTCAATAACGTTTTTCTGAGAAACATGTATCTCAGAAAGCAATTGCCATTTGTATTTGTTTTCCCCTGCAACATCCAACTAAGGATTGCTATTTGTTGCTGCAGCCAAAGACTGATGATGTAGATGTGTCTGAAGGATTAAAGCAGGAGGTTGCCATTAATAGTGAGCTCTTTGATAAGAAGAAAATCAAACAAGACTGGAGTTGTGACCTATGTCAAATTACGGCCACGAGTAAGGCGAGCTTAAATGATCACTTCCAAGGGAAGAAGCACAAGGCCAAAGAAGCACCAGGGAAGAACTTCAGCATTGGCCTTTCCCTGAACAGCCCAAAGCTCGACATGCCCAAAGAAAGCTCAATGGTGGTAATTACAGATGAGAAAAGTGCAGCATCGGGTCAAACCCAAGAAAAGACTGAGGTGAAGAAGAGGAAAAACTACAAGTTCTGGTGTGAGAATTGCGGGACAGGAACTTTTTCATCAAAAGTGATGGAAGACCACAAGACGGGGAAGAAGCATTTGTCTAAGGTGGAGAAGGACAGTGCAGGGATTTGAAAAGCCGCAGCAATAATGCAGGAAGATTGTTTAGCTTCATTCTTGTTAGTTGTATTTAGAGGCATAACTAGGTTACATTAACAAACATTGAGGTTACTACTCTCAGTGGAGGGAGTATTACTTAACTAACCAATTATTGTGCCTAATTATAAAGGTTAGTGATAGTTGTTGTGTTAACATGCTCTAAGAAATATACTTTGCAACAAACGGGTTTATGTGTAGAAAATTCTGATCATCAATTGTGTTTTAACTACTACATCAGAGTAGTAGTTAAAGAGCTTTCAGCTTTGAGTATTCTTGAGTTTTATTACAAGTATTTGAACTTACAAATATAGATTGTTGTAGTAGTATTGGCGGGTGTTATTAACTTATTATTAGAAACTTTTGTTAAGTTCCAAAACTAACTCTAGTTTTAATTTGTAATTTTAGTTGACACCCAACACATTTTGAGCATGGTCAAATTACATCAGACTCAAAATTTATTAAAAAGTTGAGCAATTTGAATGTTTTCATTTCAACAACCTAAGAATTATACTCCGTATATCTTCTGGATGATCATATACCATCATTAACATGCCATTTATCAATAAGAAGAAATTCCAGTCAACCGAGTGGGTAGGCTGGACGGAATGTGGCGCTGGAGACTGCCGCCGAAAATAAAACTATTCTTCTGGCAACTTTGTTGTGGTTGTCTGCCAACAACGACGAATTTGCGGCGTAGGATGGTGGACTGTCCGGAAGTTTGTGGACTGCGGCGAGGGCGATGAATCGCTGCTGCATGCCTGCATGTGTTCGTAAGGTGCCCGGTTGCTAAGGAAGCCTGGGGTTCGGTAGGCTGGATGGCTGTTGGTTCTTCTCAGAACACTTTTATGGGGTGGCTGCAATCTGTTTTTCAGTCCAAAAAGGAGCCGGAGCTGCAAACTGTTGGGGGCTGTGGGGAGAAAGAGATGGTCACGTGTGGCAAGGAAAGGGCTGAGACCTTCTACTGTTATGCAGAATTCCAGGAACTGTGTTGAAGCTTGGCTCCAAGTACCACAGAAGGGAATGGGTAATGTGGCAGCAGCAGCAGCAAGCTTGTCTCGGACTCAGGTTTGGCATCCTCCAGCTACAAGATGGAGGAAGCTTAACGTGGACGTGGCAAGGGGGAGTCGGGGCAGCAGGTCTGAATTATTAAGTATTCGGGAAGCTTTTAGTTGGTTAAAAAACATAAAATATCAAGGATGGAATTTTGTGGAGGTCAAATCGGACGCGGTACAAGCTATCTCAGAAATTCATAATGGGTCCAGCATCTCTTCGGTAGGTGTTCTGGCGGAAGATGTTCGGGCTATTAGTAAAAGGTTTTCGCATATTACCTTTAACTTTATTAGACGATCGCCAAACATAGTTGCTCATGAATTGACTGGAGTAGCTAGTTCTATACTTCTATGTCTGGTTGTTGTATCTGGATGGGTATTCCCCCAATTTGTATCTCGAACATTTTATCCTTTGATTTGATTCCTTTCGCACACAAAAAGAAAGAAGAAAGGCGGGGATCTCCAATTCAATGCAAAGCAAGAGGCCAAACAGAACATTGTAAAGTTTGGAATGCTAAAATTGATAAAAGTTGTAGAAAAGAAAAGAAGAAATTGATTAAAGTTGTTAAACAAGAGCAAAGTTGCACACTTTTTTCTACATCCAATCATTCATACGGAGTATAAGGCATGTCACTTCAAAAGTTCATAAACTATACAAACAAAGGTTTTGTTTGCAAATAATTACTCCGTAATTTAAGTGTTTTTTACTTTTTTTTTAAGAAAAAAACACTTATTTTATCAAACAATACCAACTTTTACTTTCTCGATTTTCGTGTAGAATCTACTTATTACTTTTTCTATTACACAAAAAACACTTATTTTACCAAACACTACCAACTTTTACTACTAATCACTTTTTCCCAAAAAGTGCTTTTATTTAAGCACAATCACTTGCAAACAGAGCCAAAGAAATGTAACTCTAGGCTCAATTGATAAGAAAAAACATATTTTACTAATTCCAGCAGTTCTATAATTTTGAGTGTAAACGTTTAGAAATGTTCAGAAAAAGTTGTTCGGAATCCTAAAGAAAAGATCATTTACCCTTCAATTTTTGCTTTCAATGAAAGTGTCAATAATGACTAAATGACTAAAATGGATCAAGGGTAGTCGACATAATGTTCACCAACAAGGCAACAAGGAAAGAACAAAATGTACTTCCCTAGTGGAGAAATTCACACCGATCAATAATTTATTCTAGACGAATTTTATCTCATAAATGGTATAAATATGTGCTCGTCAAAAATGGTGAAAAGAAAAGAATTTCCAATCAATCTAATAACACAAAATATAGAGTCCATCTCGTCATTCTCGTGTTTGCTAATCTTCAGGAATTTGCATATGCCAAACATCGTGTATACACATTATATTATATATATCTTGCAAATTGTCATTCTCCAAGGGAAAAACATGGGACACACTACTACTATTATAAGTTACTAGAGCCCCATACATACTGTGCTATATATATAAACTTTGGCTATGGCAGAGGATGGAGGACGGTGAGGATCAAACCCGAAGGGCAACAGGGTCTTGCCACGATATTTTGGGCTTCCTTGCCCTAGACGTACCCTCCCCCCCTGCATTCCTACACAGTGAAATCCTTAAATCCCCACCGTGTTGATCTTCATTTACACCTCTCATCAAACTTCTTTCTGTCTCCTCTTGTAACATTGCCGGTTCAAAGTTCCACCTAGGTTCTTCTCCCTCAGTCTGTTAAACAGAGTCAATTTGGAAAATGTTAAAGGAATACTAAGAGCCAACAAGATACTTGCAATTTAAAAAAAAAAAAAAAAAAAAAAGAGTTGCTTTTGTGTTAACTGGATGAAAAGTCCTTTCTTTCTGGAGATCTGTTGCTATATTTTTCAAAACATACAGTGAGAATATACGACTAAAATAAAACCCATGGGAAACCATTAGTGACCAAGTTGAAGTTTTGTTTAACGATTAGTGACGATGGTGATGTTCAGCTTCACACCAATCACCATGCAGAGTACTTTCAATGTGTATAGTAACCATGTACACATACTTTTGTAGTTTTCTTCATGAATTCTATTTAGTTATTTTATAGGACAAGCCTATCTCGGAAGTATATATGTTAAAATCTTTTGAAAAGATAATTCAGCAGAGCACTCCACAACTTCAGACATTTTAAGCATTACACGACAGTAAACTTTTTAAGCATAGGAAATGGGATTTACCGATATCTCATTCAAGTCAAATGGGACTCGAGTTGGAGGCGAAATGTCTTTCCAGCTGAGACTGCTCTCCTGGTTTAGATCAAAAAGCGGGACATGGGTCCCCCTCATGACAGCACTGTTCCCATCGTACAGCAATCTCACATTTTGGTTCAAATCAATAGCATTTTGTGTTGGCAAATGGAAAATGGAGTCTTTCCCGTTGTGAGTCTTGGAAACACCATGGTTAGAATCATAAGCCGGACCCAAACTAGGCAGAGCAGTAGGTTGCTTTGCACTACTGCTTATCTTTTGCCGTTTATGTCGATGCTTCATATTTGGTGGGAGAGTTGGAGTGATGTCCTGCAAAGCAGTTTGCTTTTTTCCCATGCCCATTCGCCCCTTCTGCTTTGGGTTTGTGCCGGGTACAAGGGGTGGTAATTTGTGTGGACCATCTTCTTTCTTACTAGGCCTAATGCTCTTCGTCTCGGTTTTAGAATTAGTTTCCGTTTTCAGGGTTAGCGTGTTGTTCTCTTGTGGCCTGTTCATTGAATTCAATTGCAATAGGTATGATCGCCTCTTTCTTAAGAATCTGCATAATTAAAAACACTTGTAAACAAACACGGACACTGATGTTTATCCCACTAAAGAATTCAGTCAAATTTCCGCCTAAACACAGCTAGGCGGGCTCATATCCTGCTTAATTCATCAGCTAATTCCATGTAATAAAATATAAAAAGTTACAAAAGAGATAGTAAGCATCATACCTGACTTCAGCAAGTAATATCAGCTTCTGCTTCTTCGCATCATCCAATTTTTCTCTTCTGCTGTTGATTTCCTATAAACAATAAAATTACACGTCAATTATCAAGCATCTATGTCATCAACGAGCTTATCTATAGACCTATTAATCGAATGTACAAAAAAGGGAAACATATATCATCATCATTATGATAAAATGCAAGAACAAGGACAAAGAAACACACCTTTTAACACACAAATCACATCAAATAATGACATTAGGAAACATGTTCTGGATTATGAATAAGCGGAAACAGGTCAAGCAAAGTTTTAATTCACTGAAGAACTTTTATAGCAACATGTTGAATAAAAACATACAAAGTGCTGATACAGATAATTATTAATGAAACAAAATGAAGGTATAAGTTTATAAACAAATAAAACAGAAAATAAAACAAAGCTTACAAAGGATGGGAGGAAGAATAAGAGGAACCAAACAGGTCACATACTCATTACAATTTTAAAGGCAGCGACCATTACTAATTAATACTAAAAACTGTTACAGTTCGTAGGAAACCTCATAATCAAAACAAGAGCTTACACAAGTAGATCCTTCACAAAAGATAATACAACTACACATAAAAAAGAGTAAAGGCATATGCTTTTATTTCAACATATAAAACAAAAAAAATCAGTAATCAAAATCCAATAAGTGAAATTAGTTGAAATAATGAAATCCAAGGGCTTGATACCATCCTACGAGATATATTAACACTACAAGTCAAACGAAACCCTAAATCAAGAATCATGTTTTTAAAAAAACCCTAAAGCAGGAACCAAGTAAAAAAAAAATTCAGATCAAGGATCGAGTTCAACCGAAAACGTAAACCAAGAACAGATCTGGAAAGAGGGATCAAAAATCAACCAACCATTTGCAGTTCTTGAAAGTCCTGGAAGAGAGCCTGGTGCTTTTCTCTAGCCCTAGCATCCTCATACCCACCATAACTTGACGATTCCATGGAAACCCTCTTCATCTTCTTAGACATCAGACCGAACGACAATCAAGGGGGTGCAGAAGGAGAGAAAGAGAGAGAGAAAGAGAGAGAGGAAAGGAGAGGGAAAGATGGAAAGTAGAGGCGTGCAAGGAGAGAAATAAAGAAAAGACAGAGAGATAAGGTGGTGGTGGGAAGGTTCTTTAGAGCTTTGCTGTTTTCTCTGTGAAAGAAAACTCTGACCAATACAAAGCCCAAAAAGCCCACGTTATCCGGGTGTGGAAATACGGTATTTAAGATTATATATATAAAACATTGATTGTTGCTGTTGTTAT